CCCCAAAACCCCAAAACCCCAAAACCCCAAAACCCCAAAACCCCATAAACTCCATATAATTGAATCCCAATTCATATATCATTCGATATTTCCATCCACTAATTATCTGTTGATTTATCTCTAATACAGAAATTTAGCAAAAGATTTGATGCACAATTTATAAACCAGACCCTTTATGTATGGCCTGATATAATGGACATCGACACTGCTGGGAATCATCCAATCTCTCATAATGGAGAATAAGGGACCATCCATACAACCATGTCAATAAACTTGCTAGGAGTGATATCATACTTATTATTTAGTTTGCTCTTAACTCCATCTTCTCCATCCTTAATCTCTGATGTAACCAAGGAATGAACAACAGCTTTGGTTGAAAATTTAAAAGACTCGATGCAGACTATCACTGGGACCATTTTAGACTTAGCCCAGCATGCAATAGAGGCTGTCCCTGCTTTAGACAGCAGATAACCATTATTCATCATGCTTGTGCCCCCGAATAAAACTTTGGAAATCTTTCGACCTACCAGAGGGAGAGAGTTAAGCTGGCAAAAGACTAAATCAATGCCTGTCTTTGACAAAACCTCTGCTAGCTCAAAGCTCTCTATATCTTCCTTACCCTGGCTGACTATAATCAAACTGAAGTTTATCCCCTTCTCAATAGATGTCTGTAATACTCTTTTGATCGTGTGATTACTTCCATAAGTCACGACCACATCATTGGGTTTGATTTGTGAAATCACTTCAGCACCTATATTATTCTCATTTTAGCAAAGGTCTTAATCTCCTCAACCATTGAGTCTTTAATAAGTTCAAGTTTCTTCTCAAATGAATACTTGTTGGTCCTTGCTTCTTCCTCAGTTTGCTTGAAGACATTGTTAAAGGAAGCGTGAATCTGCTCGATTGCAAATTCTATTCCTGCAGTGAAGGGTTTGCATCTTTTTAAGAAATCAGCAATCTGCTTGATTCGTTTTGGGAAATCTTCCTCGATTCTCTTTCTCTCATCTAGAGTTAGTCAATAAGGTTACCTAGCTGATAGTCTTTGACAAACTTAATGATCGCTCTTAGGATTGCGAGACATCTCAGACTTGCATCATCAATCTTTTCGGATACAAGCTTTAGGCCCAGGTTAATTACTTCTGAGTGAAGTTTTCCATAGTATTCATTCATAATTTCGTCGATGGTCACAGTGACATTGTCCATCCCTGATGGGAGGTCATAAGTCGAGTCAATACGCTCTCTCCTAGCTGGAGTGTTCTTCTTTGGCTTACCAAAGTCACCCATTGCTTTAGGCTCTTTCTTATTCTTCTCTTTCTTTCCTTGCTTTTCATCTTGTTTTTTCTCTTGCGCTTTCTTCTTAGCCAACTAAAGGAATCATTTAAACCAGTATATCTCAGGTTCAGATCCAAATGAGCCTCAGAATGGGCTAATGATGAAGGAAAGCTGAAAAAGAAGTGTAAAAATATCTAAATGGATTACCTCCTTCTTTCTCTTTTTGTCTTCAGCTTTTTTAAGCTTTCTCAATTTCTGCTTTTCCTCTTTCGATAGGTCCTTGTTGTTCAACAATTCGTTCTTCTTCTCCTCTTTTATCTTCTTGAGTTCTTCCTCTGTGGGTTTATTAGGATCCATTTTATCAATATTTATTATTACAAAGGGGTTTTGGGGTTTTGGGGTTTTGGGGTTTTGGGG